TCACACAAATGCCTTAATCTAGAGCTTGAATCCACTTTAGTGTATTTACAATTCGAAACTTTTCTATCCACTGGGAAGCTTTTATCAAATTTTCGTTTACGAAAAAATGTATCAATTTCTCACCTGGTAATACGAAAAAGTATAAATTTCTCAACAATATTGATAGCTATATCTTAAATACTGTTTAAACTATTATCATTCACAATATTTCTCAATGAAACCACTAAACACTTCAGCATACTGATATATTCTAAACAAAAAGTTTTTTATACGTTCTCTCTAGTAGTATTCCCTATTGATAGATTCAATAAACTTCAAATGTTAAAAAGGTTTTATTATCTTATTTTTGAACAAAATATGATCTCACTATTCTGAAAAAAATAAAACTTCTATTTGATCAGCATCCAATTGATCGAAATATATGAGTTCCACATTTTAGCCACAACGGGGCTGCGCTGAAAAGCTTTTTCGTAAAACTTATTAAATAATTACACCTATATAAACCTTGAAATATTGATCATAACAAAAGAAAATGTGAAAGTCATTTATATTTAGGCCTATTGGTAAAAAAATCATAAAATATCAGGACAAAATCAGGATTTTTCATCAAAATCAGGAAAATCAGGACATTAAAAAGAAATCAGGAAAGTAGTACTGCTGCGAGGCCTGGTGCAACATTTTAATTTACTTTAAAATAAAGCAATTTCATATATATTTTTGTAGAAAACAGCAGCTGCACATTATTCGAAGCTTTTTCTATCATACAGTTTTACGATTGTCACAGCTCTATCAATTTATTCGTTTCCCAGTCGTCGATTTGTGATGGTTTCTTTTTTTTGTAAATTTATTCTTTCATTACTTTCTCCATCATTGTTTTAAATCATTGATTATGGCAATGTTAGATTAAAAGAGACTTCATACTGTGCTTTATTAAATTCTGTTGTATCAAACTTTGAGAATATTGAATTAATCTAAAAGTTTTTTTCTTTCATACATCATAATTTACTAATTTAATCTTGGTTGTCAAATTAGATTCATAAAAATAAATATTGCATTAGATTTTTTGAAGATTGATTCAAGATTCATATATACTGAATTATTTACTTCATAAGATTGATAATCCATCTGTTCCGGTGAATATTACATAATACATATTAGTATATCAGATACCAAATGTAATTATTAGAGTTCAACGACATTCGCAATGGTCTTCTAGTTACTTTAAACTAATGGTATTGTACACAAGAAGAAATCACAATGAAAGTAATGCAATACATTTATATATAATGAAATAAACTACAGGGTAATTAAAAAAGAAAATAGAATTTCATATCTGACATAGAAAATTAAAATATAATGAAGATTTGTTCAACACTTATCTAAAAACCAATCATTAATATTCTCGTACCATATACGTTGTGTATTTGTATTTAAACGATAACATAATTCGCAAAATCGAAATGGATCAAGATCTTTAGCTTCATGATGAACATCATAATAACGTCTCCAATGATGATATTTCTCATAGATACTTCTATTTGTAGCGATTAAATTTAATGTTTGAGCAAGTTCTTCATCGGATGTATAATCATCGACATGTATAAAGGAATGAAGTGGAGCTACACGTATGAAATTTTCACGTTCTGGTCCACTTACTATTGGAATGGCACCAAGAGCAAGTGTACGCCAAAACTTTTCTGTTATATAATCTGTACATGATTGTGATTCAAAAGCAAGATAAAATTTTGAATTTTTCAAATAGTTTTGTTCACATGATGAGTCTCGTTGACATTTTGAGTTCGATTGAACTTGAGCATTGAGAGAAAATGATTCATTTGATGATACACATTTACCAAAGGCAGCTATTGAATAAAATTCTCGAAGTGAGCGAAACTTTTTTAAACGTTTTTTTGGTTGACAATTTGACACAAACCTGAAAATAGAAAAATAGAGAAGAATATGTCTTCAAAATTATATCTATAATCCTAATGGATCGCATTTCGATTTCATAGATAAAATCCTTACTTATATTGGTCAATCTAACTTTTCTATTCGCAAGGTTTTATCACAGATAATCATTCAATATTGTTACAGAGTTTAATGAAACTCCCATGGATAATTTATAATAGAATTTTCTTAAAAGAAATTTTCAAGGTTTTTTTTTTATTGTATATAGTGCATCATAGATAGCAGTAGTAGCAGTAGTAAGATACTGATAGACCAGTAAAGCATCTGTAATTCCTTGCTCTGGAGAAAACTTTCGAAAAGAAATATCTTCATATTTTTTTGATCCCATTAAGAAAATAATTTCCAAAGTTTAAATAGATTGATATTTTTTACCTATGCTACTAATAAAGCTTATTAGCCTATTGAGTGCTTGCTCACAAAAGATACTGACAGCATTTTTTTAACCATGACATTAGATAACTTTCTGTAGTGAGTAAGAAATATTAGATTTCGTATGAAATATTAATCCCAAAAAAAAAATTTAGATCGTTGCTACATGGCATTCTAAGAAATTGTATTAATCACATACCATACAGCTTGATTATGTCTTTTAATAAACTGTTCATCAATCCACGAATCGAATTGTTGCGCAGACCATGGGGTTTCTTTTAAAATTATTATACCATACGCTCCTATTGATGCTTCAGCACTTATTCGATATGTAATTGTCCAATTAAATTTATATCTATTTATTTCAGGTGAATTTTCATTTGATTCATCGTGCCATAAGAGCCAAATTTGTTCGGAATTTCGTTTAATTGAGTTGAGTAATTTATAATTCAAATCACGTTTATGCATCAAAAGTACGTGAGCATCACTATCTCGCGTTCGATCACATGTATATTTACTAATTAGAAAATAAAATAAGATCTGTCAAATGAAAATCTTTTCTTTTCATTTTTCCTCTAATGAAACTTACCAATTTCTATAGGGACATGCTCGACCAAAAATTTGTTCATTTGTATACGAGCAAAATCGTGGTCGTCCGAAAACAGTTGTAGATTCAAGAATTAAATAAGAATTAGGTTTATGTCGATTCTTGATTGATGGTAAAACAACTTTTTGTTTTTTCTTTATTGCATAAATATCATCCATGATTTTAAGTTCATCTTTTTTTAGAAAATAATAATTCATATTGAGACGATGTGTATTATTATCATTATTTAATAGAACAATTGGATAAATAATATTTTTATTAAAGTGTTCTAAGTGTTGTTCTTCAATTATATATGGAATAAATATAGATGTTAACTTTATTTGAACGAATATAAGTAAACTTAGTACGAAAGCAAATCCTACTAAAGGCCATTTAAAATGAAATAAATAATGACGATACGGCAGAGTGAATGTTTTCTTGGAATGAATACGTTTCTCCATTTTGATAGATGATAGTATTTGATATAAATTATTTGGTACGTTCAAGGGGAAAGATTTTGATTTTTCTATTCGACTGGTTAATTTATTTTCCTACGAAAGAAAATCAAAAATGAATTGGCCTACAAGACAACTGTAAAGAGAACTTTCTGCGCATAGCTGTCATCATAGCTGTCATCATACCTGTAGTTGATGTTTTTCTGACAGCATAGCGAAGTGATGGAAATTTCCTAACTGTGCCCTATGTCTTACTAAGATGCTATTAGAAAATAACGAATGAGTAAGAAAAGAAAAAATAATTGAGAGACAGTAAAAGCATTGTCATATTATATTACACAAGACATTTTTATCTCTGTCAATGTGTCTTCGCTTAATCTTTGACATATACTCATTTGCCTTGGCAAATTGAATTAAGGAGAAGCATGAGTTTATCTTAGAAAAATAAAAGGCTGAAAACTCTAATACAATGAACATCAAGAATAGTATCCCATTATATTTGAAACGAGCAAAGCTCATGAATTTTTCTAACATTTGTTACATGATAACAAGCTAATACTGGAAGTGATGCAAGATGTGTGATGGATCATAGAGGAAATTAAAACAGAAAATTTGAATATCTCACCCAAGAAAAATTATCCTTAATTTTTAATTCTACGAAATGTTTTGCAGTTAACATTTCTTAAAATAAAACATTTTGTTTTTATCCCAAACTATTCGTTATGAAAATTTAGTTTTTATTGGAGTATCCATTCTCGTTTTACATAAGAATCATATTACGTCTTACCTTGATATAACTAAAATGCGTATTTATTTGTATAGTGAACAAATTATGCGTAGAATAATAAATAGAAGAAAAGAAAAATAGATGATCGGTACCAGAATGTATGCGTATGTCAGGCCATAACTAATGAATTCTCTTTTTATTCCATAATATTCATTTATAGTTCATGCTTTCTGCTAAAAAATTTCTATTGTATACTCGAAATCGTATTTGTTCTTCATAATTTGTATGTAAACGAACCGAAAGAGAACAATAGGAATACGTACCACTATGAATGGAATAAATAATGTGAAATGGGCCACCAACCAGTGTCGGCGAATTTTACTTTTGTTAATCCTGTCGCTTTGGATAATTATAGTTACTTTTCTTTTCTTTCCTTCGCACACTAGTTTATTTATCACCAAATGATAAAAATAGCGAGATTCTTTTTGATGGTTAAGCCATAATAGCTGCATGCTTCCTATGCACTCATCCTTCTTGTTTGATCGTGTACGTTTTTTTCTTATTTCTTCTCTAACAAGTGTTAATAATTTATCATAAGAATGCAAGGCTCTGACATTTTCTCTTGATTTCATCATTCTTCTGTTGATTTAAGACGGCTACGAAGAAGAAATAACGCAGTTGTTAATGAATGAGCCATTTTTCATACGAATATTTATTCCATTGGATGGATCAATATACGATATCAAAACAACAAAGAAAAATATTTATTTAAATAAAAAAATGATTTTTTCCTATAACAATGAAAGAAAAATAAATAGTATTAAACGTTAATTGCGGCATAAGAATAACAAACAACTCAGACCGTGCTCAACAAAATTTCCTGAACCAAAACAAAGCGCAATTGTACATTGTTAATATTAAAAAAAAATAATTAGCAAAAATTCAGTTATTTTTATCGCTGCACTGTCGATCATCATGTGAATTCAATGTATTTTGTTTAAATTGTTTTCATCGAAATCCTCTTCGAATACTGTCGTGTCACCATTTACTATATCATTCCGTTTATTAGGAGTACTTGGAAGTGTAATTTGTGGTCGTGTTCTATGTAATAGATTCAAAACACCTGTACGTTCGAATAAACCAATAAAACTGTGTATGTACTCTTTACTTCGATCTTCCCAACGTTCCATAAATGTTTTTGATTCTTCTTCATATGTACGAATTTTCGATTTCACTGTATCAATTCTTGTCTGCAATTCAAGTTGACTTTTTTTTATAAAACCAACATTTAAATCTTGAGCCGAATAACCACGAGCTAGATTTCGTCGGACGTACATATCATAATCACGTACAAGACGACAAATTATATCCGATGTTGATACACCTTCAGTACGTTGAGTAGCAGCAAACATACCACGAGCCTGAAAAACAAAAATAGTAATAGTAATAGTTGTTATTTTTGTTTTGCTTTCAACCAAATAGTTAACAACTGCCTCTTGAAATAGGGAAAAATATACCATTAGAATTTTGTAAGTTAAAATTTGAATATATGAAATATATTTTCATGTTAGTTTCATGACAGCCTTAACTGATTAGATGTAATGTCGTATGTTAACATATGACTGTTTTTGGGCACGATGTGTTTGAATAAAGCGATAGAATTTATTATTGCTTCCAGCTGTTCATTCAAGTTATACTGATTGTTTTGAATTCGGTGGTAAATCCTTAGGGAAATCAGGGAATGTTAAAAACAATAAGAATAAGTATGCCCGCAAGTAGAATCATTATTAGCTTATCAGATTTGCATTCTGCGTCTAACACACAAGAGGATCCGATATCAAATTGAAAAAAATACCTAGAATAATTGATGCTACTTTTACTTATAGAAACATTCCGAATTAAATAATTTCTCTATCATGAATTATTGAAAAGAAAATATTCACATTCTTCAAAGCTTTCATATTTTATTAACAATTAGATAAATACCAAAATAATCAACATTTCAATTGAAAAGTTGTACTCTATTTATTCTTTCGTGTTCTCGTATAATCCATATAGGATTACTTCTGAATAAATCTTAAATGTAAAACAAAAGCTCTCGAACTATTCTTCGTCAATTTTCTACACAAGTCTAACACGATTTATATTATAGATAAATATTTCACAGGATGAACTCTGTTCAAACATACTCAACTAAATCTTTTAAAAGATAAAAATCTTCGGCTTTATATTTATGAGAAGCATAACTATCTACTTTGATGAACAAAATTGTACACATAAATGTATTTACAGTGTGAATTTTATTATATCGTAAAATATGTTCCTTTGTATTACTTACTTTAATATGTTGATAAATATCATCACTACCTTCAGCGCCATATGGCACTTCATCATGAGCAACAAAATCAATTTTATTTTTTGTTAAAAAATCATCATCAAGTACCCATGGTGCATCTGTTACGATTTCATCAACATAACGACAATGTCGAACACTTTCATAACGTTCAGTTTCATTCATAACCGTTTTACCTTTTTTACTATGTGTTAAATTATCATTGCAAACACCAGCAAGTAGATAAACATTTTTAAATAAATTTTTTGCTTGCATCAATTGTCGAGCATGACCAACATGAAATAAATCATAAATACCTAAAGTTTTAAAATTATCAATAACGAAAAGTTCGTTTTATTTTCTTTACCATCAGCATAAATACGAATTTTTCTTGGTGCTGCATTTTCTTTAGCCATATCTAAAGTAATTTTGATTGAGTAATCACAATTTTCTCGTTCTTTTCTAGCTTGTTCTTCGTAACATAAAGGTGCTGGGCTTACATTTAGCTCAGCATTGATCGAAGTTTGTCCATTGAATTTCAGAGAACACTCAGTCATTGTTTTCTTATTCGATTTTTTTTTGTTTGCTATCGATACTTCTTCAAACGATGATTTTTCATGATAATTTTCTTTCGATATCGAACTATTCGTATTAGCATAAGTCGAATTTTCAGCTGATGCATCATGCCATTCATCAGCACTTGTGACGCCACCAGACTCAATTGATGTTGAATCATCATCCATTCAAAGTATAATGCAAAGCATGAATATTTAATCAAAATAAAACGATATCTAAAACACAATAATTTTTTATTATTATGTATCGTAAACCACAAGAAGTCCTAAAGTTTTTTTTTATGACATGAAACTGAAAAGGATGAAGTCAATTCTTGCAATATGACGTCATGTTACCTGTGTAATAAAATATTACTTTCATTGGTTGTGCTTTTCGTTTGTCAAAGAAAAACGCCTGAGTGTCTTTCTGGATGTTTTGTTTTTGCTTTGATAGTGTGAGTTTATAAAACTAAGCAACGAAAGACGTATTTTATAAGATACTTTAGCTGACAGAGCAAATAAGATAGTAAATGAGCAGCTGATTAGTTAATTGAATCCAGTAAGAAAGTCTTGATATCTACCTATTTCTATGTCTCATCGAATTTCTGGATTTGACGATAAATGTAATCGTGAATCGTGTATTTGGTGTTTGATACATACTCTTGAAACTAACGGGAAAAACGGATGGCAGATAAACCAAAAGCAAATCCGATGACAACTAATAGATGACGCTAGTAAATGTTAGATTAATTATATTGATTATCTGATTTTAGTTGATTGATTATATTTATTATGAGAAAATTTTAATGACGATCAAGTTAGATTTAAATCAATCATCATACAAAAATAATAGTCAGACAAGTGTGTCTCTAGCTTGTCAACGTTCATTGTTCATAATGACTCATTCGAATTACCTTTTGTCTACTTGCTTCTTTCTTTCCTTTCTTTCTTTGAAGAGAAAAGAGAATTGGAGGGAGTTTAATACAGTTTCGATTGAATGCTGATCTGTCTGTAGACGTTCATTTATTCATTCATCCTTTAGTTCAACATAACACTTCCGTTCGTTGATCAGCATGCGCACACCAAATCATGAACGTGATACATATGTATGCATATATAATAATGTGTATCATTGACTAATCACTGGACATTTGTTTGTGTGCAACAAATAGTCACACAAGTGCTTTTACCACTAGCCATTATTATTATTATCTACGTTCAATTTTTTAGATTTTCTTTATTTTTCGTGTCAATATCAACGTTGACAAGATGCCAATACCAAACAACAATCATCATTCTTCACCACCTAGAACAGATGTAAGATTAGTTTATATTTCCGAAATCAAATGAAGGATGTCACTCACTACTTACTTGAAATACACTTTTATGCTGTTTGTAGTATGCTGAAAATGTTCTTCTTCATATAAAATAATAATAATGAAAACTCTGCAATCTGTTATCAATTACTATGAGCAGTGAATTAACGTTTTTCGCCAATCCTACTTATTTATTCTTTGAAAGATAGCTAGTCTCCGGCAGAACGAAAAATAGCAAAAAAAAAAGGAAAGAAAAAGGCAGAAAACTGATGAACATGACAAGGAAAACAGAACGAGAAAAAAAGACGAGGAACGCTTCGTTCAGATGCTGACGGTTGAAGAACTGTAACATCAACCAGTTAAAATCTTCCAGTTAGTCAAGGACAGAAGCAGAAAATAAACCGCATCATGTCGTCGTTATTGTCAGATGTCGAAGAGCAAATAAGCTTATCTAATGCTTGTTTTCAATTTATTTCTACAAAAACTGATCGTGAACGACTACAATGTAATTCAAATCCTGAGTCGAGTTTTTATTGTATAAAAAATACGCAACAGTCGTCTTCATTTCTTCCACTGGCATCATCAGTAACGAGACAAGGGAGTACCAGTAGTCTTTTTACTGTTATTCCAACGATATCACAAGATACCGCTAATAGCATGAAAGTAAGGAACCAGATGTTAAGATGTATTTTCTTTTTCATGTGGCGAAGTACTATTTGTTTTCTAAGATAGAAAGTGAAACAATAATAAACATCTACGATGACAAAAGTTATAACGCATCTCTTGCTTTGTTTCACAGTCAAATTTTTTATCCATAAAAGTTTGAACCTAATATATTTGTGTATCAATGGGCAAGAAATAGTAAAACCATTGACTATTAAAGCTAGACTTCAATATATATATATATACATATTGTACGAGTAAATCATTCAAATTGAAATATCTTATTTACTGTAGATATTTCTAAGATTGAGAAAAATGTAAAATATATTTTGATGTAGAGAAAATGCAAGACATATACAATTGAAATCCTAATTTAAAATTTAATTATTTGATATAATATATTACTTTCTTAGTCTTCACAACATCGCCTATTAATCAAGGGTGGACGAGTAGTTAATGATGATGGAACAATGCTTGCAGATGTCTTTATTGAAGATGGTGTTATCAAGTGAGTTATGATCAAGACTATTCTACTATAGAATAATCTATGTCTTTTTTCTCTCTAGACAAGTTGGTCTTAATCTTAATGTACCTGCTGGAACAAAAACAATCGATGCTACAGGAAAATTGGTTATGCCGGGTATTTAAATACGGATACATATTTATTATTATAATTTTTTCGTTTTTCACATATAAATTATATTCAGGTGGTATTGATACACAAACTCATCTTGAATTGCAATTTATGGGTACAAAAACAATCGATGATTTTTATACGGGTACCAAAGCAGCCGTTGCTGGCGGAACAACAACCATACGTATGTATCGGGAGAAGAAAAAGAAAGCGTTTTAGTCAAGTTTATAATCTAGGATTATATTGCACTAGATGTTGGTAATTCACCTAATTCAAGTGTAGGATTTTCGTAGACAAATGATTGAAGCCGTGCTGCTCTTTGTTCGTCTGCAGTGGGTGATAGAGAAATCAATGGATTTTCAATGACTAACGTTGTAGGCTCTTGTTTTTGCTGTTGTTCGAGCATAGCTAAACGATGCGGCGATGCTATTAGAGTCATAGTATTATGATAATTATCACTAATAAATGATATTGCTGAGTTTGGTCGAAGATGTCTAGCAATATGTTGATTTACAATCACCGAATGAAGATAATCTTGTTGTTGTTGTTCTTGCTGCTGCTGCTGTTGCTGTTGTTTTGATAGATGAGAACTTGATGTTAATTGATTACGTAAATAGAGTTTATAACAAAAATAGGTGGTTACTATTGAACCAATGAATAGTCCTGTTCCAGCAGTAACAACAATGATGACGAATATTATATCGCTCATAGCATATCTAAGAAATAAAAGTATGGAATTAGTATAATCAGGTTGTGCTAGTTAATTTCAAGGGACCATGTGGTATGAAAAAAAGAAAAAAAATGACCTGATTTTTTTCTTGACTGCTGGCAGTATGATGGTCAACTTAAAGTGATCAATCTACATTTTCCCCCTTTCTTCCTCTTCTTCGGTTATGCTCACTTTTGTTCACCTGACCTGTTGAACTAACTTCCCATGTCCGATGTAAAAAGACGAATGGGAAAGGTAGAAAAAGTTTAATGACAATAGAGAGAATGAATCTGTTTTCATACAACATGTATTGCATACGATTGAAACTACATCGTCGTCGTCGTCGTCGTCGTCGACGTTGATGATGATGATTGTGATGATGATGTCATGAAATAAGGCGACAGCTGATAAAAGATATGCATCTTTCACCATATACATGCGAACATACCCAAGCGAGTGAACATGAAAACGGTAAAAAAAACGAGAGAATAAAAAAAATCCGAAGCACGCTACCCTTGAACGTATCTCTCCAATCTGTTTTTACTCATAATATACGTACATATGTATGCCATTTTTAGTCTTTTCATCCATTTCTTGCATATTGATTAGGTTTGTTACGTATAGCATAGTCATTTTCTTTGCTGGTTCCAACCCAAACAAAGTGATTAGCTGTCTATCATTCTTTCATTTTTCATTTTTGTTGCTTTACATTCATTCGATCACTACTACTTCAGTGTGTCGTTTATTAATTTGCTCGAAAGCTAAAACGAGAAAGAAGAAAAGGAAAAAAGTGAAAGAATTGAGTTGCATCACTTTTTTTTTATACATACTACTATGATAGTTGTAGTGATGTAATAGAAAAAGACATTTAGATCGACCTAGAGATCTAATCAATAATTTTCATATGATGAAATGTTGACTATAAATATAATATTGTGATTACTACTTTTAATATGTTATATCTTTTTTTTAATGGTTATCAACTGGGTTAAAATTCAATATGAGAGAATATGATTGTATCTTTTTCTTTTTTTCTTTAAAATAGTTGATCTTGTGATTCCAACGAAAGAGCAAACACTTCTTGAAGCTTATAAACAATGGCGTGAACGAGCTGATGCAAAAGTTTGTTGTGATTATGGCTTACATGTTGCTATTACACATTGGAATGAACAAGTCGCAGCAGATATGGAAACGCTTGCGAAAGAACAAGGTTTGAAAACAGAGATATATGACGACACGCTCAAAATTGATGACACATCATCTTTTTTCTTCCTAATCTCAAGATTATTATAAACTATAGAACTGCGATTTTTCGCCGAAATATAACTCTACTATTCTTCATAATGTATTAGACAAAACGTAAACGAAACTTTTCTTTTCAAATCAGCCTTTATTTTTGAAAGAATGAAACAAAAAATGTAATATCAGCTGATATCGGCGTACATCATTTTAGCATGAAAACAAAAATAGGGCTCGATTTGGTCAAAAATCACGACATTTCTATATCTTGAAATATCAGAACAAAAAAACAGACCGATCAGTTAAATTTATGAGATGCTCTAAAAACGATTTGTTCAGATTAGATAATGATTTCCAATTTAAGAAAATTTTTACATAGATTTTGTTGCATGCAAGACAAGATTAGATACTATTCTGTTTTATCAATCGTATTGTAACAGGAAAAAAAAATAGAATAATATCATGCATCGTGGAGCTTGGTTAGAGTGGGGTTTTGTACACATTTATTCATTCAAATTATCTTATGTGCTACTACTGTATAAATCTCCTTTGAATATCCTTCGTAAATTGATATGTAAATTAACTTTTATTTAGGTGTTAATTCGTTTAAAGTTTACATGGCTTATTCGGATAGTTTTATGTTACATGATGATGAAATCTTTCAAGTTTTTGCTAAATGTCGTGAAATTGGTGCCATCGCAATGGTTCATGCTGAAAATGGCTTAGTTATCAAAGAATTAGAAAAAGAAATGCTCAAACTTGGCATAACAGGACCTGAAGGCCATCTTCTTAGTCGTCCGGAAAAGGCAAGAAATAATAGTTATGATTAACATTTATATAATAAATAAATTTACTATTTTAGCTTGAAGCTGAAGCTACATATCGAGTAATAACGATAGCTGAACAAACTCGGTAAAATTCTATTTAAACTTGAATGGAATTCTATTTAAAATTGTATTCACAGGTGTCCACTGTATGTTGAACATGTGACAAGTAAAGCAGCAGCAGATAAAGTACAAGAAGCACGATTACAAGGTAGAAAATCCGGTTTAATAATTTGAAGTAAAATAACGATTATTTTTTATGTCTATTCAAACAGGTCAAATCGTTTTTGGTGCATCGAACACAGCAAGTTTAGGTACTGATGGATCACATTATTTTAATAAATGTTGGCGTCATGGAGCTATTCATGTAATGTCACCACCTCTTCGTGATGATTCAACAACAGGACCTTATCTTATGGATTGTTTAGCTAAGTATGTTTTATTGTTTTGTTTTGTCAAATTAACCTAGAATTGATTTTTCTAGTGGCTCATTATCAACAACTGCTTCTGATCATTGTACATTTAATGGAAATCAAAAAGCTTTAGGCAAAGATGATTTTCGAAACGTAAAATATTTTATTTTCGAATATTTGTGTGCTATTAAATGAATGATAAACTTTTAGATTCCCCATGGTGTTAATGGTATTGAAGATCGTTTATCAGTTATCTGGACTAAAGGTGTTGAAACCGGCAAACTTGATATCAATCAATTTGTTGCTGTAACTAGTACCAATGCAGCACGCATTTTCAATATGTATCCAAAGAAAGGCCGCATTGCAGTTGGTTCTGATGGCGATTGTTTAATATGGGATTCAGAAGCAACAAAAACAATATCAGCTTCAACGCATCATCAAGCATGTGATTTTAATATATTCGAAACATTTGAATGCCGTGGCTTACCAGTAATTACTATTGTTGATGGTAAAATTGCTTATGAACACGGACAAGTATGTTTTAGATTTTTTTTATTTTCAAAAAATGTTCTCATGACTATTTTAATTTATTATCACATATAGTTAAATGCTGTGCAAGGCTCAGGAAAATATATTGAAACAGGATGTTTTACGGATTATGTTTATCAAAAATTAACCAAACGAGAACAACTTCGTGCAGGAGTAAAATTTCCTAAATCAATTTGTATTTAAATCTAAAATTGTTGTTTTTATTTAGATACTTAAACAGCAAATAGTTGAACGTGAATTATATACAGGTGATGTTGTTGATGTAACTAAATCATTTTCAAATGAATCAAAAACAAGTCCAAAACATGCTAATCATGAATTGCCAGCTGCTGGTTTTCATAATCGACCAGCAACACGTGCTGGTTAGTAGGAATAATAAAAATAGTTTTCTATGCAGTTATAGTTGAACTTTTTAGGAGCAAGAAATCTATTTGATTCAAGTTTTATGTTATCAGGTAATCAAATAAAAGATTGATTTTGGTTTGAAGAAAACAATCTTTCTTTTTTCGTTTGTTCTAGGTGAACAATGGGATGATGGAAGTGTTCGAAAAACAACTCGTGTACAACAACCACCAGGTGGACAATCCAAAGGTATGTTGATGAAAATGCTTTGCTTGTTTTTTCTTCTTCTATACTCTTGAATTTTATCTATTTTAGGATTATGGTGAGAACAACGAAAGTTTTCAATAGACTCTAACAAAGATAGCTTTTCTACTATGCGCTGCATGTTCTGCACGTTCATCATTGAACTCATTATTTTTCGAAACCAAAAAAAACCAACGATTGATTGCATGCATATATACATATATATATATAATTTCAATAAATATCTTTTGTCTTTACTTACGTATTTATTATAGGGATGTCGGACCGAATGGTTCTTCTTAATCGTACTTATTTAAAAGCAAGCTGCTCTTTTTTTCTTCTTCTTCTTCTTCTGATAAGTAATAGTATTATACCAACATTCTCTTTATTCTTCAACGATGTGTTTCTATTGTATAAAAAAAACTAACGTTCTTTTGGTTCTTTTGCATTTAAACACTTTCTCTTCATTGCATTAGCTTGCATGTTTCTTTCTTTGTTCTGTCATCTTACATTGATATTATAAGTCGTATTAAATAAAATAAAAACTTGTTGTCTTTATGATAAACTGTATGATCTTTTATTGTCGGTTGATGATATCTTAAGAAAACACAATAGAATCATTGATTGATTTTATTGAATAGTTTTTTAAAATAATTTTCACGAATAAGAAAGATTAAGATAATATCACAACTAGAAAATATTAGTTATTAAAAGAAAAAGAAAAATTCAATAATAAGCTTCTTAAAAGAAGTATGAAAAAAAGTAGAAGTGATAGGTACCGTGACAATGAAATATTATCGATGGCATCGCTTTCCATTTTGTTTCTCTTCGCCATTTAGTTTTTTTTTATTAAATAGAAGCTTTACGTTCATGCTTCTCATCAATATTGCTAGCTAAACCATGATAAGCGATGTTTTATGGTTGAAAACTCAACAGATTAATTATTAAAGTATCTATTAAGAAAATATTTAAATATAAAAAAAAGTATTATTCAGTAGATTGAGCAGCATTATCATTCAGAATTTCATTTTAAAAAAGGATGAAAAATGTTCTTGATTACTATTTTTATGAACAACAAAATATGAAGTCACCGATCAACCCCACGCGATTCATATTATATATCTAGACAAAGTTGTACTGACCTAGAAGAGGGCGTTTTTTACTCTCTGCTTTTGAGAATTTTGTTGTTTTTGTGATCAAAAAATTGTGTTTCTCAAGGTATTTTAGTACTGGATCTATACGAGAAAAGACGTTGCGCCTCTCCCCCTGCTTCGAGATTTGGGGGTATTTGGAGGGGCTGCCTTAGAGGCTCAGTTATGCCCCCCGTATCTAGACGTATTTTTATTCTATTGCGTCATATCACAAGAGACAATATATTCTTATTAGAAAATTCAGAAAAATAGATCAATTTTTAAACGGTCTTTATTTTTGATTTTAAATTTTCTTTTTCAGCAATCACACTATACTGATCGATAAAGTATCTATATGTATACATATATATATATATATATATGATTTATTCAAATCAGTTGCATTATACTTTTTTTGAAAATGGTAAGTTGAAGTCAAACAGAACGATTTCATATGCGCACAGCACTTTGAATGACTCAGGGTTTTTAAAAGAACTCTACAGATAATTGGAAAACAAAAGATGCGAAAAAAATGTATGCTGAATTGTTTCATTGATAATGTTGTTTATGATTTTTTTCATGACATATTTTGTGGTGCAGTTTCGTCGTCATTGTTAAATGTTCTTCGCTGTGCTAAATAATGTTCGATAACTAAATAGTAGTATAGCAAATATTTGATCAAAATTTAAATTATAGTCTTACCATCATTGTCAAAATCAACTGGGTATCGAGGATAATGATATTTACTAAGAAGACCTTGACGATACAGTTCTCGAAGAATATTAGCATTAAGTTCATCGCTATCACTTTCACCTCGTTTTCCCCATGCTGATGACATACGTTTTCCCCAAGCCGACGACATGCGTTTTCCCCAAGCGCTACTCATGCTAGAAATAAATAAAAGAAAAATAAACAAATAATTAAAATCGTTGAATTTACATAGGTGTGTTGACAATAAATAAAATCTTATTTTTCTGTTTACTATACAAGGCAAAAAGACAGGACAGATTGTTTACATCTTAGTTGCCAACTCTTATAAATCTATTTTTAATGGCACTGACTTCCGTTTGTCAATATGATTTCCATCGGATAACAAATTGTGAGTATACATTTGATTTACATTTTTCTATTTTGAATCGAACGTCTCTTTAATATTGACCTTACATTTGAATTTTTAGCTTGTTGAGTATATCATTATAGTAATATAACAATAGCTCTGTCGAAAACAAACATTAGATGTAATTATACAATATCTACAATGATTTATTAGTCTTGAGACCCCAAGGTTCACCGATCGTTAGAACACGTCATTTAGAATGGTGTATATATATATATATATATATATATCATGTCTTTTGAACTTCGCAAAAATGTCCGCTTCGCTCAACTCTAATAAAGCAAAAAGAAAAACTAGATTCGATTATATTGTAATCAGCAGGCGATATGAGGATTCGGTAAATGTGTATGACATTCAGAATAAAATACAAGCTAAAACATGTAAAAACAACGAACAAAGGAAAGCAATGATGTCCTCCGACGGAAATACTATGTGACAATTGATAAAACGGAACTTGAGCGCACGCGTAGGTAGCCTCTATATTTTTTATCGTAGACTCACCGTTTAAGAGTGTTATTGTCCAAAGAACTCTGCGTGAGTGTAGCTTGACTGTAGATTATTTGTACCAAAATCATCAGTAAAGCAAAAATAAAGACGGATAGCTTCATGCTGTCGATTGGCAATGAAAAAGATGAAGAAGAAGATGATGATGAAGAAATAAAATGAAGACGACGAATTAAGGAGTAACGAAGAATCTAAAATGAATTCTTATTAAAATATCTTACTGTCTATCTATCTATATATATATTTAAACACATATTTAGATAGATATAGAAATAAGGAAAAAAATTAATAATATAAGAACAAAAACGGAATGGCTCGTAGCATTTCTCGTTTAATCGAGACTAGACAACATCATTTTGATTTCATGATGTGCTTCAATTTTTATCGTAGAAAATTCTCGTTTATATCAGATGAAACTAAGTGTCAGAAACACATGACACCAAGAGTGTATGTCTTTGTGTGTGTGTAAGAGGTGAATGAATGGCATTAACGAAAGCTAAAGAAAGAGAAGTAAAAGAGGGAGAGGGAGAGGGAGAGGGGGAGAGAGAGAGGGAGAGGGAGAGAGAGAGAGGCTGAAGATTTTCTAAGATTTTCTCTGCCTCTTGTTCTCTTTTCCTACCAATCTTCGCCTTTGTGCAAGTTTTTTTCCCGCTGATTGGGATGTGGCAATCGCTATTATTTTGCAATTCTATTGATGATAGAGATAAAATATTTACGAAAAAAATCGACTTATTTTATTTGTATTGTCGTCTGAAAAATCTCTTTGAAAAACAAAAGTAATCTAGACGGTAGTCTTAGAAAAACACTATGAACTGAATTTACATATGACCTTTACTTGTAAGAAAAATTGCGCTCTCGTCCAGATTTAGGAACTCAATCGGGATAAATACTAAGACAATAACTGAAGAAAATCGTTTGTTTCATTACTAATTCATGGATAAATACTTTTATTTTGTAGTTTTTAAACTCATATTACATTTGCATCTTGAATATTTGATTTTATCCAGATTACTGAGTTTTCTAGAAAACAAGAATCGTCTGTTCATAACAATTATTCAAGCAAAAAATAACTAATTCATTTTATGTATTTGCTAAAAGATCTTATTTAATCATATTTTGTAGATTTTAATAACAAGTAACGGTTATTATCTGATTGAAATGAATTTACCAAGCATTAAACAACAACAAGATGTACTTAGACTACGTGGGGGTTGAGGTAATTAAATACCAATAAAGATCGCCTATAATAATCTATTTAACTAATATAGATTCTGGGACGACATATAGCAAAGCGAAAAAAGAATCGCTACTAGAAAACATATCGCTAGCTGTATGAATAATTGCTGTCTATGTAGATGAGATAAAGATAGCAATGCCGCTTTAGCACAAGTTCTGTTAACTCTCAACTAAGTTATAACCGGAAACACTTTTTATTGAATAAATCTAAAAGAATATGTTAACTAAGATATTGTAGTACATTTACTATTTTAAAGCAAGTACATAACGAATTAATTGAATGTGATCTCAAAATTAAAGTATTATAAATTTTTGAAATAAAAAATTTAAGCAAATTCAAATTCAAAATATTTCGTTTTGCGCTTTCATACAAATGAAATCTACATAATCCTACTTGCACACTCCGCTACAATCTACTAAGCTTATGACGCTAAGATCACAGAAAGTTCGCTACAAACCCGTAGATGTTGAGGTGTCTTCATCAATTTCATATGATTAGGAAAAAACTATTTTTAATAAGAATTATTTAGCAACCTCCTTTGCCTAAAAAAATATCTACTTACTTAACGTCTGCTTTATATTAGAGATATAATCTCAAGCATAGTTCTCATATAACACAATCGTATACGCTTACTCAATAAAAAATTTACGCGTTGAGTACCATCAATCGATGTGATATGAAGATAGTGTTTACATTGCCTACGGATTTATTCGTTGAGCTTACTGAATAATTATTCCATCTGTTAATCGAAGACAATTATATATGTCACGTAAGAGGGACATTCTTTTGTTTTCTCCATCAATAGCTGTACATATCTGCCCACTTCCAGATACTTATTTAATGAAGTCGAAAACAAAATACTTTGCTGCCGTTAGTTATTTCAGATACGTCATGCGTTATTTAGATTCCGATTATTTCATGATCGAGAAAATTTTAACGATCTTCCTTTGTTGATACAACTGTTGTGTTTGAATGTATTCATACATAATCTCTTAACGAATCATTCATAAAAATAGATAATACAGATGCTTTTCTGTATTTCCGATCAAGCGCCAAAATCTCACCCGCCTACTAGTTACTCCTACGTTATTATCTTGAGTTTTTCATTTTGTAGTATGTTTCTTTCTTAAAATTTTCAATCGAAGCAAAAATAAATAAATATGATGCCTACATCATATACTACTTGTAACAATAATAATTCCCAAGCAACTATTATCTATGTTTCCTATGAAGGATGTTGTTATGAAGTAAGAATACGTAGTGATAGTGATGCACGTATACTTGATATACTTTATGGTTTACAACGTGCATTGTGTATTCCACAACATGAAATGATGTTATGTTTTGGTCAACAACGTATTGATTGTCATCAGTTTTGTTCACTTCGTTCTCTTGGTATACCTGAAGGTTCAACACTAAATCTATATCGATGTTCGTAAAAGACGAAATTAACAAAGTGTGTTCGTTTTGCTCTTTTATTTGAAGTTATTTATTTTTCCTTTTTTTATAGTTGTGTTTAAGAAGACAAGAAAAAAAAATAAGGATTTATGTTCGATCGAAGAGAAAAAAAGTAGAAGTAGAACGAAACATGAACAAAGATAGAACATACAACAGACAGCAACAACAACAGTGATAATAATAATAGTAATGGTAATAATATTGAATCATCTATAGAAAAAGAAGTAATGATCCAATTTCTAAATTGTGTAAATGTGTTGAGTGAAATAAAAGAAAAAAGATCATCATCATTATTATAATCATAATCATTCACGAACATTTGTTTTTTTCCTTTTTGGTGTTGAATACATATACATGCATACATAGACACACACAATTAAGTTACGAATATAGGTAAAAAGTTTAACTCTCTATGTACATTGAAAAGATGGGGAAGATGAGAAGCGATTTGTTTTTTTATTTAAATTCTGTTGCTATTCACACTCATAGTTGATGATTTTTCCAAATTGCTGATACTACTTGTTTGTTGTTGAGCTTTTGAAATGTACACATTTAATAATTTGAGCTAGAACAGACAAATGAAAACGATTTATATGCACGATGACGAAAAGCTTTGTCTCTTCACAATCAAGCTAATTTATTAATTACATAAAAATCTTCATTTCATGTCTTTTAGCATAATTGAGAATTTAGATTTCAAAATAAATTAACTATTGAAATCTGTACGTAAGATTCAATAGATTCCGTATCGTTAAAATACAGTGTCTTTTGTGAAACTATTGACATATGTTAATAAAAACAAAATTGAGAGTATATTCAAGCATGAAGAAATTCTGACAATTTCTTTCCCAGATATTTACCAGGTTTTGACCTAAAACATCGATATTTCGCTATGTATACGTTCCAATTCGATGATATTTTCACAGTATGTGGAAACTGTAATAGAAATTCTATAGTAGAATTTGCACTCATAGATTACAACCTTTCCAAGAGATATTTAACACAAAACAAGGTCTTTCAGCCCACCTAAAATTCTCGGTAAATTCTCATTTTATTTGTTGTGGGAGAAAATAAATCACACTTTGTTCTTGTCGTTAGAAGAGAACATCATATGGAAAATTCTCAAAAATCAGGGTTCGAAACGGAAATGTACTTAGTTTTACAGCCGTATCATGACGAAGCTCTTAAAAACGTGACACAATCTTAATATGCTGTTTCCAACGAGCAAACAAATAAAATATATGAAATGAATACCCACAGAGAGTCTCGAATTGCACGCCTCAAAAAATAATCAACAAAATAAAAGTAAAAAGGTTCCCTACCTATATCATCTCATTTATTTATTTTTAATTTTTCAAACGAACCTTAAACTATGAACCAGCAAAAATCAACGCAACTTTTTCGAGCAATCAACGAAGAAGATCATATATTCTTGTAAATCACAGAATAATGTAAATCAGAAAAGAAAATTATAGTCATAGTGACGTAACAATCAGCAGCGATACCAAAAACAAAATCGTTGATTACTATGTTATCTTACCAGAACTCCTCGTGAAAATCGAGACTATATCAAAATAAATCGTACGATTATCTCATATTATTTACTCAATTATAAAATTCTATCAAATTAAATATTCATTTTCTTTTTCAAGTCTCGTTTTACCTTGCTTGCACTTAATCTGTGCAAATGCGTACGAAGGCTATCACCTACAACCAAATAAATTGACACCAAACAAAATACTGCTGCTTTTCGTACACTTGATGTTTCGCTATCCCATGACTAAAGATACAAAAATAAAAACAACATAAATGATAATTTTTATATTAAAATAAATTCAAAAATAGCTTCATAGCATTGATCAAATGCGTAAAACATGCGAAGGTTGGGATAAAACAGAGCGATGGTATGAGTAAAAGAAAGCCAATTCTTACGCTTTCTCCACCAGCGAGATTATGGGAATGAACATCCCATACCTTATTTTTATTTTGTTCATTTAAATAGTTTATTTTATTCATTATTTAAAAGACAAAGAAAAAACATTTACCGTCAAAAGTGGTGGAATCATTTCTGGCATTAATTCTATACAGGTTTCTTTGTTCATCAATTCAATTGTTTTTTGTAACATTGCAATAGCTGATTGATTCATTGGATATTTTGCTTGTTCAATTATTGGTTTAAGAACTCGAACAGTACTGTCAGCTGGTAGATATTCTGCTGCAGCATGAGCTGCTTGTTCAGCTGAACGAGTTATCTTCAAAAATTGAAATAATCCATAAATATTTAACGAAAAGAAAAACATGATAAACACTTACTTCACTTTCAATTTCACTTTGAGCTTTCAATACTCGAAATATAGTTAATTCAATATAATTCATAAATAAACTTGTATGATGTGTTAATAATTCACGTATTATACGAAGACTATAAACTTTATACATTATGTCATCTTGTTCGTTGTCAAGAATTTGTGTTAAAATATTTAATGTTTTACTAAATGCTAAACTCCATGTATCTGAATCGTTCAATTTAGCAAATTTCAATATGCAACGTAATGCGTGTTGGCGTTGATCTTTTCCTAATGTTTGTTGATTTGCCATGTTAAGGGCGACATCGATGGCAGCTGGACGATCGGCAGCATCAAGAATACTCTGTAAAACAAGAAAAATAAAATTTTATTTACAAATAAAAGAAACAGGCATACATCTGACGTTTCTGTAGCATTGCTTTGAGATTGATTTGAACGATATGCTTGAGGTGTGTAATGTCGACTTGAATTTGATCGCATATCTACAAGATCTGAATAGAAGAAATAACTAAACAAACTACTGACGTATTAACCTTGATAGCCACTATCTTTTAATGAACTTGAACTCGATAATAATAAATCGTCTTGTCGATGATTTACATTTAATGCTTGCATATTTTCCATTAAAACACGCATATCCGTTGCATATGATGGAGCTTGAATTTCTGAATGAATAGAATTTGTCATTGAAGATGTCAATCCATTACTATTGGATCGTTGAAGAAAATCGAATCTAAAATAATCAAAAAAAAAAAAAAAGAATATGCTTGACGAGATAATTCATCGGTTTTCATTATATCTTTACTTATTGTCATGTTGTAAGTGAATAGATGATTGCATACTATTGGTTGGTCGAAGAATTTTTGCAGCTGCATCCTAGAAACATAATATTTAGTTACATATGTACGTGTAACAGAGAAAATACAGCTTCAATATTTCTATTTTCCAAAAATATAGTTCGTGGCTTCATATATCTATTTCCTACTTATTGAACTGGAACATATTTTGAAACTGAGAAATGCATGATCATGCCTAAATTCATTCCAATAAAATTTCTATTAGTCTACAACCACTATAGTGTGAACAATAGATTTGATCTCATGAGACAATTTTTGGGAATTTTAACGCTCCTCATATAATCCCTATTGTAATGACATACGGCTAAATGCATCCCCAAGTTATCTATTGATTATCTATCAAGTGTTTATATATCAATGAAACTCATAAAATGAAAATTTATACAATACATACTTGATAAGTCGATGGTAAAGCAGTAAGCATTAAAGTGAATTCTGGTCTATTAAGATTATATAAAGCAAGAATAACACCTTGAGCAGCCTACAATAAAACAAAACGCACAACATATTCATTGTCTTCTGTGTGTACAGTCTTAGAATTTATTTTTCAAACCTTTCTCATCTCTATGCTCTTTGGTTCACTGGACCAGTTAATAATTTTTGACAAGGCAATTCGAATATCGGCATTATTCGATATGTCAACTGGTTCCATTTGTTGTATAATTTGTTGTAAATATTTTAATAATATTTCTTTGGCTTTGATTCCTGGTGCTGATGAATTATCGTTAATAAAACGAATTAGAACAGTAAATTGTGCATGAACATCAAATGATGTATTCACAATCGATAAACATGTTTTTAATTTCTTATAAACTGAATCAAGTAAATCTGGAGCACCCAAACGGATTAATAAGCGTGTTAATAATGTATAAAGCCATTCGTTTAATTCACGTTTATATGCTGTTATAAATTCGGGTAGAACATCGAGAAATGCTGTAAATACTTGTGAATGTGGATCATAAAAGCGTTTGGTTAACAATTCAGTAAGACGTTTTAATTCATGAGTACTAAAGATAAAATAGAATTCAACATTTCAATTTCAACAATAGACAAATTTTGCGTTTCTTACCTAAATGTACGACCTGAACGAATCATGTGATATAAACTAGCAAGACTTTCTTTTCGATCAGTCCATTCATTACTTTGCATTCGACGTAAAACATCAGCAATATCCTAAGAAAAACAGAAAATTGATAAATTAAAAACTTAAAATTAACAATATATACCTCAAGTGATCTTTCTGAACATATACTTGATGTTTCTGATGCATCATCACCACTATCAGCACCCCAAGCACCACTCACACGACGTACATGTTCACCATAATCACTACCCGGTCCTCGATATCCACCATATGGTCCTTAAGAAATTAAATTAATTTTCTTAATTACAAATATCAAACTAAATACAACTAGTCTAATCACTAAAAATCCCATTCAAGAGAATCATACAGACATATAAGAAGAGAATTTCTACATTGTTAACATACGACACATGTACATCTAGAAACTTACGTCCGAATCGGCGTTTATTACCACTACCAACACCTCTAGCAGACACCGCTGAAAAAATTCATTCTTTTGTTTTTTAAATCTCTTGACATCTTTTTTTCTCATAAAAATTGCTTTTTTTAAATAAGCAACAACAACAACAAGACAATCTTATTCTCATATAGAATACATACGTGTTCGTCCTGGACTTGATTCTCTGCTAGATATTCTTGAACCACCACTTGAACCAACTGGTATTTTTGATCGTGCATTTGTTGGTGTACGTAATGCAGCTGACAAATAATGAGATGATTTCATTGAATTTGGAGAGGTTGAACGACTTCCTGGCTGTGATTTAGCAACGACATGGGGAGGACGAGCATTTATTGAAGATGCTTTGGCGCTGGTTGTAGTAGCTGCTGCTTGCGCAAGAAAACGAGGTCGGCCTAAATGATATTTTATTTCTCTAATGTCATCCAAATAATTATCTCCTTATGACAAAATTTACCAGTCGTTGTTTGAACATTTGGTGTATTTAAATCTGAAACATAATTAATGTATAAATATTACATTTGCTTTCCAATGAGAATATGTTACTTGACAAATGATTTTTCTTTCTTAACGCAAGTTCATTAGCACTTGACGATCGAGCAATAGCACCTGGCGATTGTTGTTTGTCTAGAAAATTTAAAATTATTTTCCTAAATATTAAATTTAGAATTAAAATCATAAACATACCGGTAATTGCTGCTCGAGCAAGTCTTGGAGTCGTTCTAAATTATGCAATTCGATGATAAAAATAAAGAAAACATTTCAAAAAATAAAAATAGTCTTACTCTTTAGCACTACGTATTCTTGATGTGCCTGTACTGGCTAATGAATGGGTACTTGATGAATTACTCATTTCACCCTATTTTATTTATAAATAGAAAAAAAAAGAAAAGAAAACAATTTTATAAAAAAAAAACAACTAATAACATCTTGTTTTTTTCAACTAACCAATAGTGTTTTCTTTTTTGCAGCGTCAAGGGAAGAAAGTAAAGTATCAGCTAATAACGGAAAAAGATCACGAAATAAACCAAATGCTTTTCTTGCTAACGATCTTGCGTCTGCATCAGCATCTGATAAACCTTTCTTTATTATATTATGTATTAATTGTCCATGTTTATCCAAATAAACAAAATCCCATTGTGAAAGCATTGTAATTAATAACTCGAATGTGTGTCTAATTAAAAATAGAATAATTACAGCAACAACAAAAAATACAAAAATCAATTTCAAATAATATGTTCAAACCTTCGAATATCTTTAGACTTCGATTCAGTTCCCGCTAATATCAGTGGAACTAATTTACTTGCTTGTGTATTACTAACAATATAACGTAAAGCAACAGCACCGCTTGTTGCAATAACTTTAGCACTATTTTGTATTAGAACAAGCATAGCTGGTATGACACCTTCAGCTGTACGCTCAAAACGATTTGTAAATCGTACAGACATATATGCTAAAGTAATACAAGCTTCGCGGACAATTTGTGAACGTAAATCTTTTACAGTTGCTACTAATGGTAGATCAAGTTGGCGCAGATTACGAAAGAATTCTTCACATTGATCACCTTCACCAGCAATAATTGAACGTAATCGTTTAATCTAAATTTTAAAAAACAAATTCATAAATAGGAAAAATTAATTTCCAATTGATTAATTTAGTTTTTATCTTACAGCATCAACACGTTTTTCCCAATCATTATTTGTATCAGCTAATATATCTCGAATACTGAATACTTGATTTTCAAGTTCTTTACTTGATGAAAACTAAATAGAATAATATTATATTAATTATTTGAACTAATATATTTTTTTTAATTACTGGTATAGGATGTGATGAATTAAAAGCGTCTTCAAATATCGCTTCATCAACTGCGCCACTAGCAGCAGCTAAATATAGAATAAAACAATAATTAGTAACAATATTGTATTGTTTTTCATTTTTGTCTTCTACTTGTTGCAACACAGTTTGGTTTGCGGTTCATCATAAAATCTTACGTCATCAACAATATAGAAATGTATGCGCACACATAAACTGAATAATGTGACTTAGTGAAACAATAACACACAGACACACACACACACGCATACATACATTTATATATATATATATGTCATACAATGCGAAAGAATAAAGAAATGGAGGAAAAAAAGGAATGACTGGTGCATATGTGAACGACAGCACAACAGCAGTTGATATTGATTAATGATAATTTACAAAAGGTGATACAATGTAACAAGTGATGGATAGATGGATAGATAGATAGATAATACCTCCTATTGATAATTTAGCTGAGTGTGGACGTGGTATTCCCGATGAAGAACGTGAACGACGATCCATCGACGAAGGAGAAGGAGATATTTTAGTATCGATATTCGTTTCTATTTCCCATAGTTTTGTTTATAGTTTTAATATTTAAAATTGTACTCTTTTATTTTCATTTATTTACCTGCAGACATTGCAGCAGAAACATTTCGTGTTGGAATGCCACCAACTGGTCTTGATCTTGATGATGTTCCATTATCGGAGTTTAATCGAGATTTAATTGTTGATGGTGGTGGTTTGGGGCGAGCTAAAAATAGTCGATATTTTATTCTTACAAAATAACAAACAAATAATATATTTGGTTAGTAACAGCATAAGAAAAAAACGAAAAACCTTACGAGGTTTAGTAGCCAAAAACGGCACATCTGCAATAGGCACCATCTGTATATATGATGTGCTTTCTTTCTATTCAGTTTTTATTCTTATGATTGTATGTAAAAGTTTAAATATCAATGAAAACTATATACACATCACCATCCCCTCTTTACTATTTGTCATTGCCTCGGGTTGTTAAAAATTTTCAAACGCACACAGTAGTATACGAGAAGGAGAAAGCGAAAAAGCGATCAATTGATAAGTTCAAAAAAGCGATTACTACTTGATATAATTGAAAAAAAAATAAGAGACAGAGGAGGCGGGTAAAATTTAAACATTGAATATGCGAAACGAAAGGAATAAATCACAAAGTATATCTATTTTTAAAATAATATCAATTCAATTGATTGTTAAAAATCATTATTTTGCTATCTTACTATCTTTTTATTATAGTCTCAACAAAATTGTAATTATCAACTAATACAAATTATGTTTTCAATTGATATTCAAGTGTATGAGACTGTCTTAATAGCTAATAGATTTGACTATTAATATCTATGAGACAATCTTTATGAATGATTTCCAAGAGAAAGAAATTGAAGTAAATATATACACACAATATATTAATAAATTTGTATAAGCAAATGGATTAGACCTTGTGAGTGTACATATCTTTTTACCTGGTAACGATTTTCTCGCATGACTCAATCGTTGAAATCCGCTATTCAATAGTGGATGTAACTCATCATTCTCGTCTTCGGTTAATGTTGGTAATTGGAATTGCGTCGATGATGGGCCAAGAAATTGCTCCAATAATGACGGATCCATTATAATTTGAGTTTATTTATTTGTAGCGTATACTGTTTAGAAAAGAAATCAGTCTTTGATGCTCAAGTACGATGGTGTCGGATTGTAAGGTAGTTAGTCGTATGTACACATGTATGTATTTATATATGTACGTGTCCCTCAAACACCCTCTTTTTTTTCGTATGTAGTTTTTTTTTTGTACTCACATATACAGAGTCGCGATCAACGTATCTTCATTTATATCTTACGTTGTGTGATGAACATATACATATGTATATATATATATATATACATATACACCTTACACCGTCAATGAAACTGATGAGTGAGTTAATACAATGCAAATATGATCTTCCATTTCGATTAACGGTCAGCAATAGTAAAAGACGTTGACGACAAAAGAGAAGAAAAAAAAATAAAAAAAACTGAACGACCACAGTCACTCAGGTCACCTCTATTCACACAACTATTCAAATCGATCGAACATCACTTGACGCACATATTACGCGCACCGCTCTGTCTCTCTCTCTCTCTTTTTTTCTTTGTCTCATTCACATGAGGTGTTTGAATGAAAAAAAAATCGTAAGGTGTCGGCAACGAATTTCTTTTAATACAAAGGAAGGATGAATATGAATATGAATATATATGTATGTACATGTGTATACTCACACGTGCAAATGCTGATAAACAATAGACTCTAAATGCGTTGCCAGACATATACACATTTATGGTATCACTAATGCATAATCTTATTTGAAAAAAAAGAAAGTTTTCTTACCGTTGGCTATAGAAGATGAAGAATTACCATCTGTCGTATCAGACGCTTTAGCAATCATACGACCGCTTGCGACAACGTCATCGAATTTATCGTACAGTTGTTTTAACCTTAATGGATAACCAATAGTGTGTTAAAAGAATAACAATAAGCAAGAGAAAAAGAAATGAAAATAATCACTTACTTGGCTTCTGGTATGTCTCGTTTTGCTATATCACCCCGAACTTTTTCACCGACATGACGATAAATTTCTACAAGTGTATCAATAGCTTGTTGACGAACCTATAGAAGACAAAAAACTTCATGCATAGCAAACAATGAGTTTCATGTTGAAATATTTACAGTTCCATTTGAATCAGATACAAGTTTACATATTAATGGAACAAGTTTATTCAATTGAATTGTTGATGCACCAAATCTAAGGAAAAAAAAAGGAGTATGAATAAGATTTTCAATCAGATCTATTTTGAAAATGAAATGAAGTAAAAGAAAAATTCTAATCGCTAGCTTTCTTTCTCATATATTTTCACTCACCTGTCATTAATAATCTGTGTTGAATAAGTTCGTCTCATTTTGACGAGACAATAGAGTAACAATAACAAAAGTCTAATCCGTTTTCCTTTGTCAATTGATCACTACTAGTATCAACAATGAATAGGAATCACCTGTTTATATAGATGAACTGGTAGTCGTCAATAAACATAGACAAAATGAAAGCGATCGCAAATCAATACGAAAAGAAAAAGATCTCTAATCCTTTTGATAACAATAACAACAGTAACAATCGTTTAGACAAAATGGATAGTGGCGATGGCGATCGTTAGTAAGAGAGATATGTCATTCTTCTCTTGCGCAACATACTCGCACGATCATTATATCCCTATCTCGTTGTTTCATGCATGTTACGTTGTCTTTCTCAATATGTACTCGTGGCGTAGAGTTGCATCTTCACATTCACAATGAACAAATACCAGCCAAGGTATCCTATAGTTACCACACAATACTTTATATTGATTGAAAAAAAGCTCATAAAAAAAAACAACGTCAGCGTCAAAATGAATCATTAATGACAAAAAATTGTTTATTAATGAAACTCATCTATCGTTGGATATTAGGAATCACTTTTTCTTCCCTTGTATATTATGTTTAATCTATCAGTTCCGCGTACAGCGAGGAAAAAAACTATTCAATGTACAGTTCGATGACAGGAGCAATATAATTATAATGAACTTACTCTGTTACTGAAGGATATTTATTTGTAAATGTCTTTGATTGATTCGTTAACATAGTTTTAGTCGTTTTGTTTTATCATCCATGCACTGATCTTTAATTGTTATTCTGTAATATGTTTGGTATTTGTGATGAATAGTGCGGAAAAAATGAGGCAGAGAAAAAACAATGGAGAACAAGAAGAAGAGTAAAATAAGACTTTTTTTTGTCTATGCTCGATGTGGTTGCAATTAGACAGTAGAAATAGACTTTTTTCCTTCTGCTATACATGTATATATATATATATATATATTGATCGTGCCGCGTATTGCTACTCACGGTCGTTGACCGTCGGGCAGCTGTTCGTACATTTGTTTCTTCCTTTTTTTCTCTCGTATTTTCTGTTTTTTTTTCTACTATAGCATCATTTTAATCATGGATGGCAGAAGGACGCAGACATGCATAAGTGTCTATAATAATAGAATAGAATAAGATGTGTCACAATAATAGTTGATTCTATACGTGTTCAAACAGAAGACATCCACTCAAACACATATTTGTTTACTGTTTAAGCAACTTTTTTCCAGCCTCCATCATCCGGTTTTTTCTTTTCTTCAGTAAACCTCTTGGCAAACATAGTAAGAATAAAGAGAAACCTCGGATACACTTCTATTAGTACTACTCGTATTTAGACAGGAAAAAAAGAAGAGCGAGCATCTTAAAGACCGATAGCTAAAACTACACTGTTGTTCGACATGCTCTCTTTTGATAGTTGGATGTCAAACGATAAAAAGAGTTTTTTCTACTGAGGAAAATTGTTCTTCCGCTTGCTTCTATGTACAGAGTGACGAATAACTCTATTTCTTTCTTTCTCTCTTGATGTTGTTGTTTGAAAAAAAATTATATCAATCATTGTGTCTAAATAATCTTTTTCATTATTACATACTCATTTAAGGTTTGCACTAATAATCGTTGAATTTCTTCTCGAATACGAAATTGTTTATTTTCAAATGATACAGGTTGTATGAAATCCCAAACACGCTAAACATATAGAAGAAAACAACAATCATCTTTATATTTTCATCAGAAGAAAAAAATATATACCTGTGGAGTAAATGCTTTCATTAATTTCAATAAAAGATGACTAGCTGCTTCTCGTATCTAAATAAAATAAATTCTATTTTTGTATTTTTTGTTTTTGTTATTTACTTGATCTTTCCCATCACCCAATCGATCTAATGTTACAAGCGAAACTAAACGAAAAACAATCAACATATTGTCTAAGTGATAGTGTTCTTCTTTTTGTTTTTGTTTTACTAAACATACCATTCTCAAGATAACTTTCAAATTCATACGAATCTAATCTTTCAAGCAGCTGTTCAACTATTCGAAGGCCATTATGAGATATCTAAATTAAATATTTCATAATTTGATTGAATTACAATTGACAGTAATCCTTACTCGATAATTACTACTTTCCACCCACTTTAGTAATCCATTTATGAAACCTGTTAAATCTTCACATTCAATTGAATTATTTTCATCAGATAAATAATCTTCGAGTTTAGAAAAACAGTCTAAACGAACGTTTGGTTCTTTTGACTGTAAAGATGAATAAAACTGATCGAGAGTTTTAGTTTCTATTATTGATGAAGAATCTGCCATCTTTACTGATCGTTTATAACTAATTATATAATGAATACGATGAAGAACTGAACCGGAATATAAACAAATAAGTTAATCTATCGATATAGCATTGGATCTAATAAACAAAGATAAATAATAAGACTTAGAATCAGACAGAACGAAAGAAAAAACAGACAAACAAATTACAACTTATTAGTCATTTGCCCGTTGTTGAGTTATAGTCTATAAATGATCATTGGAGAAAGTATCAGCCAATACAAAATACATATCATGCATTTTTATGTCTTCAGTGTGATCAATTACTCGGAAAGTTTTAAAGTGTAGTAGTTATTTGTCAACTAATTTATATTATATAATAAAAAATGTATCAGATGTCGCTATTCAGAGTTGAATTTCTTCTATGAGATTTTTGCTGCAGGAAACTGATATGACTTGAGGAAGTTATTCGTTGACTACTATATACTTTAATATTAATTGTGTACTATGATTTATAAGCTTTATTCAGGAAATTAATTTATTTGCTTGATTGCACAATTATTTAGTGTTTTAATTAGTTTTTCTATTCAATAAAAAAAAATATATATTTATTACAATATAGGAACTAAAATACAATTTAATAATTAAAATCTAAACCGGAAATGAATTAGTCTGAGATTATTTAAGAAAAGATGTTTCAAGAAGATATTAAAGATTGCTCCAATTGACGAGGCACTAGCTGTAGTTTCTTTACGTGAATTGAAAACTATTCGTCATCTAATACTACGGAATTCAAATCATTAGTTCATACTGATGTTTTATGTTAAAATAATTTTTGATTGACTTCTGAGACATTTTCTTACTCATTGTCAACAAACTAGTGATTAATTGTCTCATCGATATCTAGTAAGATTTAGCATGCGCAAGTCAGAGAGCGCCTTCATACTGTGTTTTGAAAGATATATTGGTGGCAGCTGACAAAAATGGCCCACATAAAATATGACGTATCATTTGTTTTACTGAATCTACATTAAGAAGAAAAGGTCGCAATTCAGCAGTCAATAACATTCACTCCTTGAGAACGTATCAATTACTATTGTCGAAATTATATCAACCCATGCTATTTATTCATTGGGCATGCTTGTATAAATTTTTCTTTCTTCGTACAAATACTCGTCATAAAATTTACGTAGGAGAAAATGTAGAATTTAAACTATCAAAAGATACATTAGCAATCTCAAAGAAAACAACTAGAGATACCTTCTAATATTGTTGAATTTATGGTAATATTTTCTAAGAGCGGAAACCAGTAAAAATTATTAATATTGATTGGATCTGAGGTATTAATCATAGATATATGATAGAAGTTCACTATGAACTATAATCTAATATAACAAAGAGCATTTGTTGTATGTAAAATAAGAGGATTCATCGCAAAAATAGAAGATCGAGAAATTTCTCTTATACTATTAAATCAAAAAATAGTACTATATACCGTAATCATATGTCTGTACTTATCTCTCTAAGCTTATTATACGTGTATTATTATTTGATTTCGCTTGTCGAGAGCATTATCTATATAATTCTACGTCAACTAAAGTCATGATATCTTCAAGATAAATAATGTCATGAAAGGATAACAAAGAAAAGCCTTTGATCAGTTTTTCTCTGATAGTATTTGTTGTTCGATTCAAATTGTACTCAGTTTTTTTTGTCAATTGTGCATGATTCATTTTTCGTTATATACTACGACATGAAAAGATTCTCTTACGTGTGAAAGTATAATCTACATAGACATTTATGAGACAGTCAATCATTTTTTTTCTGACAGTAGGGAAGTAACACTGAAGAGGACAGACACAACTCAATTTACCATGAAACATAAAAATGAACTAATTGTTTGCGTTTAATGGATTTAGTTGATGACTCTACAAATACATCATGTAATAGAAATTTTCACTAGTGCCTCGATTTCTTAGCCTCGCCATAGACGCTCCTTTAAGGATTTGGATGAATTTTGATATCGCGTTTTAAGTAACGTTCAAAAGTCGGCACTATACGTTCGTATGTACTAGTCATATATGGAGATGTAAGAATGAAATCAGCTGTTGATAAATTGCACGCCATTGGAATATTCCAAACACTTGCTAGACGTGTTAATGCTCGAACATCAGAGTCGTGCGGTTGCGCTTCAAGTGGGTCAGCAAGAAAAATAAGTACATCAATAAATTGATCAGCTATTCTAGCTCCAAGTTGTTGATCACCGCCTAATGGACCTGATTTATATCTGATTACTGGAATGCCTAATGCTGCTTCAATTAAGGATCCTGTTGTACCAGTTGCATGAAGTTCATGTTTAAGTAGTTGATCTCGATTTCGGTTAACCCATTCAATTAGTTCAGCTTTTTTATTATCATGTGCAACTAATGCAATGCGTTTTCGTTGACCAATTAAGAATGATTGTGATTCATTATTTGAAGACATTTTCTGTAAAATTGAATGATATAGGAATCTAAAATAGGTGACTCAGACTTGTGAATCATTACCAGTAAAATATTTAAATCATATATAAATGAGAAAGTGATTAACAGAGCGCCATATAGTAAAGTTCTCTTTTCGTAGTTTATTTCTTCTGTGCATGAGTTTCTGATCGACAGAGAAAAACATATTTTCAAATATTAACCTGACGATTTTCAGTCTAAAACAAATCTCAATAAAAAATACGAATTTTGGAATTTCAATTATTGTTAGAATGTCGCCTAACATTAAAATCTTGAAATTAATGATAGAAAAACTTTTCATCGATTTATTCAATTGCAAAATAAGTCGAAACATTTGTATCACAATGCTTAGGTTTATTGAGCTTTTCTGCGTTGTTGTAATATGTATTGTCCTATAGAACTGTCCGCAAAAGTAATTCCTATTGTCACACCAACACCTACACCAGCGATAAATCCATATGAAAATCGAAATAGACCTTTATACATATTTAATAATCCAATCAGAATAACAAAACCAACAATAATATATTGAGTCGGTATCAAAGACAATAATGAAGATCGCTCTGATGAAGATGAATCATCATAGTTTTGAACCATTTCAATGCTATCTTAAATTAAAATGATTAATACAAAAATCTACATGAAAAAATGTACTCGAAATTTTATTCGAAACAATTTCGTACAAACAAAAAAAATACGTAAAAGTAAATCAGTCAAGGAATAATTTATTAAATGATTGTTGATGTTGATGGCTATCTCGTACTTTTTTTATTGCTTCAATGAAATCTGCTTGTTTGATAGCTCTCAATTGAGACAAAGATTCTTCTTCAGTCGTAATTAATTGTTGATGACGACACAATTCGACGATACGTTGCATGGCCGCTTGCCGGCATATTTCATTTATGTCACTACCTGTATAATTCGTTGATTGTTGTGCTAATTGCTCGAGATCAACATCTTTTTCGAGTTGTTCATCGGATAATATTAATTCAAATATTCTCATACGTTGATTTAAATTCGGTAATGAAATATGATAACGTGTTGGCATACGACGTAAAATAGCTGCATCTAAATCTTGTACGCGATTAGTTGCACCAATAATAAGAACACGATTTGATAGTGGATCACTGGCGTCAGTTTCTAAACCGTCCCATAATGTCATAAATTGAGTTTTGACCTAGAGGGCAAAATATTAGGCGCTTTTCTATAAAGAAAAAGGAATTTTTTTTTCTTACATACCATTCGTGTACATTCATGATCATCATTTTGACGTGTACGCATAAATGAATCAATTTCATCAATGAAGATAATTGTTGGCTGTAGTTTTCTAGCCAGAGAAAATATTGCAGCTGTACGTTTTTGAGATTCACCATACCATTTATCCAAAAGAGAAGTAACCTTGAAGACAAAAAGAATAGTGTCAAATGAATATCTTTCGTGAAATACATGAGAAAATTGATTAGTCATCTTTAAGAGGCTATGTGAGTGCTTCTCCGGATTTTTCCTAGAACGGACCATCGAAAAGAAACAAATGCAATTTTTACGGTAGATAAACACGATTGAGAGTAGACGAGTATTCTTTTACTTTTTCTATTTAGAAAATAACTTTTATAATATTTATATCAATAGCAAACATTTTTCTACATGAAATTCTTTAAATCTAAGTTGTTTCTATTTTAAATCGTTGCACATACTTGAAGATTAATGAAATTTGCACCTGCTTCTCTTGCAATAGCTTTTGCTAACATTGTTTTTCCACATCCTGGTGGTCCATAAAGTAAAACACCTTTTGGCGTGGTTAATAATTTCGATTGACTAAACAATTCTGGATGTTGTAACGGATAAATAACAGTTTGTCGAACATTATCAATGATTTCATCTAGACCACCAATATCTTGCCATGTAACTTTAATATCAATTGGATTAATTAAATCTGTTAAAAGACACATTTCATATTCATTAAAGTTATTTACAAGCGCTTTCGGTAAATTCATTTTCTTTGATATGATTTCTGCTAATTCTTTTTGACGTTGCTTTTCTTCATGTGTTGGATCCATGCTTTTCATTGCATAACGTATTAGAAAATAACTAAAAACCATCGAACCAACTAATGCTAATGCACGTGTACCTAATGATAATAATAGCGCGCGTACTTGCGGATCTTTAAAGTTAATTGTACGATATGATGATTCTGTTAGGTCACGAGCAAATTTCGATGGTAGTACCATTCTTCTCTCTATCAAGTTCTATCTGAAAATAAGAAGTTCACATTTTTTTATTTTATTTACGATACACCTAAGGAAAGATACATGATTTTTTTTCTCTAATTTAAGATTAATAGACGAATAGACAACAACAAGAATAAATACAATTCAATTTCTATCGAGTAGAACCAGTATTTGCCAAACGACGTATACGTCTAAATGAAGAAAAAAAAATAGACAATTATTTAGTTTATTAAAATTTGATTCTTACCTTGTGTTTCGATCTTGATCGCGAATTTTCTTATCGATTTCAGCATCAGTTAATGTTTCTAAAAATGGACAATATTGTTCAGCTTCATGATTTGTACGCATAGGAGCATCGACCGACGAGATTGCTTTTTCACTATGCACAAAAACAGAAACGAATATATATATGCATAAAATTGACTGAACGCTCTTTGTTAACAAACCTATAGGAAAATGTTTTATTATGCCAACTAAGTTGTCCACGGACACTGTAGGCAATAGCTGTAACAAATTCACCACCAAGACCTTTAAATAGAAAATAATTAGAATCTACTAATATCTAGATTTATTTGATTTACCTAATTCAGCTGCTAATACACGAGCAAATTCTTCAGGGCTATTTTGTTTATCTGACATATCCCATTCGAATTGATCGACCAAACTTACGTTGCCAACATGAACATTCAACTGAAACATAACCAAATATAAATCTTCAGTTAATTTGTCTTATTGATTAGGTTTTGTAGGCTCATCTTTTTTCGATTGAATGAAATCTGTTTTCTCAAGGAAAAATTCTCTACAATTAGTTTATGCTTGATCTCAACTATTCAATTTTATTTTTCTAAAGGCAAATATATATATGAAAACCGCCATTAACACTACTATTAGTTTCCAGTTCTATTTACTTTAATTATAATACGTTGATCATTGCCTTCGCCTAGAAAATTATCCTGATGAGCTTCAACTTGTTGACGTATAGCTTGTGAAATAGCCGGTACAAATGAGGCAGTATTTAAATCGAGATCATCACAAAGAATTTCAGCAAACATTTCTGGTGTAATCAATTGTTCTATAAAGCAAAACAAAAAATAAAACATGAAACTTTTCATTCCTTGTTTTTATAGATGAACCAACCATTTTTATTCCATGTAAATGTATCGCGTAACTTTTGTCCGTCAACTTCCATATCAAGACGAATAGGAACAAGTTCTTCAACTTGTTCAGCATTTTCAATAGCAGCTGATGTATCTGTATAATCAAAACTAGAAGAAAAAAAAATGTCTCTTCATAATAAATTAAATAAAACATTTCAGACCATAATGGAAAAGTTTTTCTTTTCATTGATGGTCGATTTCGATTGACTGGTGTTGCTGCTGGTACAGTTTCAAGATGATGTGAATCTGTCGAAAATGTTGTTAATAATGTTGATCGTTTTGTTTTATCACTAAAACGGCAAATAAAGGATTTTAAAATCAACATTTTAAATTTCTTACGATCGTGTTGTAGGAGGATCTGCATTCATTGTTAATGCACGATATTTTTCTTCGTTGCCAAGTAATATTTCATCGACTTCATTTGCACGTAATAATGTTAGATTTGTAGGTAATGACGATTCAGAACAACCTTCACAGATAAAAGTAGCTAAAAAGCATAGAAGAACAATAAAACTGCAATAACTTACCACGTTCAATTAACCATTTTCGTTCTTCTGATGTGATCACTCGACGCCACAACGATGGATATCTTTTGTAAAGTGTTCCACGAAATAACCGTAAATAATTACCCACCTTTAAAAGACAATCGATGAAAAGAACATGAAAAATAAAAACGTAGTGAGAGGTTCTCATTTGTTTCTCTCAAACTAGCTGATAGTTTGATAGTAGGCGGTAAAAGAACGAACCGATAACATTCGCGAGGAGTTTCAACTTACTTCTGAACCAATATACATTTTTTCATCACTATCAGGAAATTGAAATGGAACTGGACGATCGCCATAAGTTTTTGATGCTGCATTTGTTGGAGTGCTTGGTTTTTTTACGGTTGCATCCGGCTAGATGAAAGTAAAATCAATTGACATGTTTATTATAAAAATATTGTTTTCGAAATACCTCTGACATGTTTAAATAGACTTTTGTTGATGAATGATTGAGAAAATTTAGAAATCTTCAAGTAAATAAATAAATTAAATTGATAATCAGAATTAATACATACTGTAACAAAAGGATATCCTTGAAGTTATAATTTAAATGATCATTTTGGAATGGTATACAATTTTAATAAAGATCTACGTTTACAATTATCAAGAACTAAATGAATCGATCTCGATTGGAGCTATTCTAGATGAGATGACTTGAAAACGCACACACGCACGTCAATGAAAGTAAACTAAACTAGTAAGGAGTGAATCGATTGGTCATAATCCTGTAATCTATAAGAATATTAGGCGATAGATGTCGCTGTCTCATATGGTCTTTTGAGAATTGTTGCATATATATGTTAACGTCCAAACCAGGACTCTTAATGGGATGGGATGGGACGAAATTTTCGTCCCGTAGGATAATGCAAGTCGTCCCATCCCATCCCATGGGCTCCCATGGGATTCGCTATATTACGAAAAATCTTACTGAAAATCAAGGTTTCTTTTTTTTGTAACCGGAAATTCGAAGTTTTCCAGCATTCCGATTTGAATATTGGAATTAGGGATGCACCAATTCCTAGTACATTGCAAGAACGATGACATTTTAGCCTGATGTAGAGTGGAGCGGTCCTCTGATTCCATATATCAGCCAAGACCATTTTTTTGCTCTATGTAAAACGATAGCTGAGATTTATGAAAGATTAAAAAAAAAATTCGGATTTGAATCAGAATTTGAATTTTCAAGTCGTTTTCGGTCAAATCCAATTCAGTTTCAGACTTGCAGTTTGCATTACACAAAGTCTAAGAATAGATTTGAAAAGAACGTTCAAAACTTAACAGAAAAAAAATAAGTAAAAAGGCTTAATCCATAACTCCCAATGCTGAGAACATGTAAACATTCGATAAAAAATTCAAGAAATTGGCGGGATCGGATCTTTTCCCTACTTAAAAATGACGTGCCCGGTAGTGAGAATTATCGATTGAACATCTCTTTCTTCATATTTTTCTGTTCAGTTTTGAACTCTTTTTCAAA